GAAAAATGGTTTATATCAAATTTCTCCTTTATCAAATTTTTGTTCACCAGGTATTAGATAAAAAAAAATTCTTACCTTGAATAAATTTGTGAACAATCTGAATCAAATCTTAAATCTTTTGTTGTGGTGAGGAATTAGATAATCGTAATTGACTTTTTTCTTTTTAAAATCATTTTGAGTTTTCAACAGTTTCTTTATCTCCTTTTCCAATAAAGAATTTTACCTTTTGAGAATGGTGTGTTTGAGAGCAAGTTTTTCAAATTATTCAAGTAGTCCGTCATATGAGGTAGATAATTCATCATATAAAGACTTGTCATCTGTGTTTACCTCATTTTCAATAGCCATGGAACACAAGTTGGAAACTTCCTCTTGACTTTCATTTTCTTCATGGTCTTCATCAATTGCCGATTTCAATACAATTTGGCCATTAGGAAGCTCCTTCGTTTCCTCTTCTTTGCTAGTACTTATGTGCTAATACAGTTAAATTCATTTTTTATCCAAAGCAAAATAAAGTGGATTTTTTGCTCTAGCATCAATTTTCTTTTATCCACTTTTCATACTTCTCTCTAGGTTTTGGAATGGTTTGATCCAGTTTGTCATCAATCTTAATAATCTTTAACATATAATGACCATATTCAATAGCTTCTCAAATACTATAATCTATTGATTGAATATAATTCATCATTCTACCTCCCCAATAACTAAAATGAGTGTTATCAAAGAAATGAGGACGATTTGTAGAATGTTCCTCAAGATTCTAAATATTGTGATTAGCCATTACTCAAAAATTGTAAAATTTTAATTTCAAAATTAGCACCTAGCTCTAATACAAATTGATAGCCCAATAATAACTAAGAGAAGGATGAATTGATTTTTAGAATTTTACGAAAAGTAAACTTAAATCAAGCTAGTTAACAATACTTTGATCAATTAGTAATAACTGTAAGAAAATCAAGAATAAGTAGATCAATCAAATAATAAATGTAAATGGCATAATAATGAGTAAAAAGTAGAGAGGATATAAAAGATATAATTGTGGAGGTTCGATTCAAAACAATAATTTACGTCCTCTATTATCACACTCTCCAACACAAGTAAGGTCTTTTTACTATACTGATTAACTTATGGTGCAATCTAACCTTTCATAACGCTTCCGATGACTTACAAACAAGGAGCACTAATTCTTATAGAATATTGAGCTTTATAGGACTTTAGTATGAACCATACGGTAACTTACATTAAGGAGTACCAATCTTTATACTATTGAGCTTTTACGGGACCTCAAACATTAGAGCTATAAATTTACAATGAAATTGCTCTCTTTATAAATGAAATTGTTATCTTTATAAATAACATCAAAGAATTAAGTATTAGGAAATTTTTGAGCTTTAATCATTCATTGCTAAAGATCAAAATATTAGTACATTTACATTTGAACTAATAAATATAGTCTTTGATCTTGTTTCGGAGTTTGGCTCTTAGGCTCTCGTCCTGATCATTCTTTGACGTTTGGCACTTAAGCTCTTGATCTTTCCTTGACATTTTTCTTTTAAGATCTTTTCTTGAAAGACTTGTCTTGAATGTGTGAATTTGATCTTGACCTTTTCATGAGTCTGATTTGTGATAGTCTTGATCTTGATCTTGATCTTTTGACGACGATAATTCAATTTATCATTGGTTGCTTTTAATACTATAATCACTTTAAATTTAATTGTTAGTAAATAAGATTAATTTATTTGTTATAATCAAAGCTTTAAAATTATAATTAACTATATTTCAACAGTCATTATATATTACTTGTTGTATCGCTGGTTCGTATAAATCAATTACTTATTATCAATACTCACATTTACAATTTTCATTTTGTTTGGTCAAGAACCTAGTATTTCTTGCCTACGAATTTTCAATTGTGTTGCCCAAGTTCCAATTTCACCGCACAATATTTCAAAATAGTTTCCCAATGAAGAATTTGAATTTATGTCAATTTTGATTCACCATCAATTATTAGGTTCCTCTAACTTTAACAATTGATTTATTTACTAACATTTTGCATGTTGTCAATTAGATAAATTGACTTTTCAAATTTGACAAGAACAAAATTACATCCAGATAAATTATTTAAATTTTATTAAGATGAATCAATTTTATTTCAATTAATCACTACAACAGTCAATGTGAGCAAGATATTGGAAAAAAAACTACTAAGATTAGCAAAATTAATTACCTAATGTATTTGTTAACATAAGAAATGTGTTAAAAGCTATATGTACCGACAGCAAATGCTTCAACAAAAAATTGATGTCCTTGTAGGACAATTTGTTGTAGAAAATGAATCTCAAATAAAGTGTAATCAAGCAGTTGATGTCAAATCCTTCATATCTCATAAGAGGGAAAAAAATTATAAGAAACAATAATAGAAAACATTGATCAATAAATAGACAACGCGATTCACGCAAAATCACAAATGTTCGAAAATAATGAGATTTCAATAAATTATTTGTTATCTCATAAATTATGGGATGGAATAATATTATTATAGAAAATATTTATATCTTTAATGTGAAACTTGAAATTTTGAAAAATAAGGATCTTGAATGCAATCTGTTGAAAACTGTCAACATAAAAAAAATTGGTCTAACCAGGAAGAAGTGATAAAGAAGGACTGAATTCTTTAGAGAACTTGAACCTGTAGTTCGAATCCTTGAAAATGTAATCCCTATATAATACAAGTGAATTTTTGTAATGAAGATGAAAATATTGAAATTACAAAATTCAAAGTCTGACTCGTAACTCAAGGTTCATCACAAAGACCTTTGATCAAATTTATGAGAAATTATTCTTTCGTAATGTGCATTATCACTTCTAAATTTTCAATGAGTTTGACTGTGTTACAAAGGCTCGACATGCATGCTAATGGATGTGTTAAAAGTTTCACGTAACTAACAATGGAACAAAATATGTGAAGTGTTTTTCATGAACTCCTTCATAGTCATGGAATTATTCATTAGATAATTTGTGTTAGGACCGTGATATACGTAGATAATCATTTACCTAACCGTTTACCTACTATTCACATCATTTGGGTGGGACCTCGGTTCGGATTATTAAATTACACATGGGGCCCGCATGTTTGTGAGGGGGGGTTTAAACGGTTCGGTACACCCCCCTCGGTACAAACATCTTTATCCTTTGTGTTAGCACACCACAATAAAATATTTGGCACAACGAAAGATAGACAAATTCTTGAAACTAGAAGGACTCTTTTGTTCCAAACAAATATTCCAAAAAAGTATTGGTCTCACGGAGTTCTAACCGCAACTTATTTGATTAATTGGTTGCCTAGTCGTATACTTGATTTTAAGTATCCATTGGAAATCTTAAAAAATCACAAAGCTTAATATCATTCTTTTGCGGGTATTTGGATGTGTTTCTTATGTTCACCAATATAGGCCATTCACCATGACAAACTAGATCCTTGGGAAATTCTCTGTGTTTTTTTTTTTTTTCTTTTTTTGTTTGAAAAGGGGCTATATCTACTACAACATGAAAATTTGAAAGATTTTTGTCTGTCGAGACATGATATCTAGTGAGTGAAAATCCAATTTTCATGAGAAAATGAGAGTGAAAATCAATCAGTGGAAGTATTTGACCAGTATGGTTCTGTTGCACATTGTTACAAGTGCTCAAACCAATTCTAATGAAGAAACAATAGGTGCAGAAACTGAGGAAGCAACTGGGTAAAAAAAAATGCAACTTCTTAACCAAGTGAGCTTATACCATCTTCATCTCAACAATTTCATTGAAAATCCACTAGACTCTAAAGTAATTGAAG